CTTAGCGCAACTTTAGATGTGCAAGGCTTATCATCTTCGTCGTCATCGCTGGGTTCGATCACCTCCATGTCATCCTCGTCAGCCAGGAGTTGGAAACGATTGTTGGAACTAGGTAACTTCTTTTTGGCGGTAGAAGGAGACAGGATGGTGCCTAACCTTTTATTGGACCCTATTTTCTTTGGCGGGAGGGTGGTATCCTGCCAGGCAGCAGCGGGAATGGTGTTCTCTGTAGTACAAGTAATAGCGCTACTTAGGGATGTACTGCTACTTGTGGTACGTGCATTGCCACTCAGAGAAGAGGAATGTATGAATGGGGTCGTGATTGAGGTAGCTGGAGTAGTCAGTGTGTAGGTGGTGCTACACTGAGTATGAGCCAAATTAGAGCTCGCAGTAGTTGTTGCAGTTGTTGTTGCAATTGTGTTGTACTGATTCAGCTTGATTGACTGTAGCAGAGAGGCGCGTAAATCGGCAGGTGAGCCTACCAGATTTCTCATCTTCTCAAACTCGAGCTGTCGTGAAGACAAGTTTGAATCCATTTCCAATTATATGAATATAGTAACTTCCTCCCAAGAGTATGCTACAAACCCCAGTTTATCGAGTCTTGGGAGTTCCCAAGGGACAAGCCAGAGCTTTATGGTTGACATCAGCTGTTTGGAAGCTTACCAGCTAGGCATCAACCTGCGCCGCCGCACAACAATTATTTAATGTTTGTGATTATATATTCACTGCACCGATTCAGTAGGCGTCTCTCGGTGACTATGCGAGTCACTGCAAATTAGATGCCACAGTAAAGGGCTAGTCTTATTGTTTAAATAGCACAATCGGAATAAATTGACGGAGCGGTCCAGAAATACGACTGTTCGGATCAGCTGACTCCCGGTGTGTCACGCGTCATTCAACGCGCTAATTAAGTGAAAAACAAGAGAGAATGCTATAGTCGGGTGCCCCGACTATCAGATACCCGTTACTCAGGTAAAGGGAGTGCGAGGGAGATGGAGATAGAAACTTTGATCATGCATAACTTTTTAACGAATGGTCCGAATTGAAAAATTTCTTCTACATTTCGATAGGTATTGATAAACACAATAAAACTGCATTTCTACTTTTCCGAAATATTTAAAATTTTAAAATCGTATATAAGCGATTGTGGGCGTTAAAGGGGGCGTGGCACCATTTTGAAACAAACTTGCGCTGCGTAGGAACTTCTAAAATCTACATGCAAAATGCCAATCTTCTAGCTTTTATAGTTTCCGAGATCTCAGCGTTCATACGGACAGACAGACAGACAGACGGACAGACAGACGGACAGACGGACAGACGGACATGGCTATATCAACTCAGGAGGTGATCCTGATCAAGAATATATATACTTTATAGGGTCGGAAACGCTTCCTTCTAGCTGTTACATACTTTTGCACGAATACAATATACCCTTTTACTCTACGAGTAACGGGTATAACTATGTTACACACAGACAACCAACGCGCACAAACACACATCTTTTGACCCAAAAAGCAAACAAAAACATGAACAAAAAAATGAAAGGAAAGTTATAGACAAAGGTCCCGACAAGAAGTTGCTCAGTGCCTGTGCTGCGATTTTTGATTTAAATACTTTAAACTTTATTTAAATTCAAGTTTTTCTATATATGGTTTCTTAGCTCTATTTAAGTTTAATATTACTCTATTTAATTAAAATATAAATACTCTAACATTTTGTATATAAAATTTTTGACTAATAAATGGTTTACGTTTATGATCTGAGCTCTGAAAATCCGTACATAGTTATCTGTATATATAAATTTAAAAATCTTCTTTTGAACTTACTTCCCGCTGATTCAAATTCGTATATGGTCCCTTTACCTGTCACATAAAATTCAACTCATTAAGTATACCCTTGTACTCCTTTTAGTACTGGGTATAAAAAGCGCGCAAAGCTGTTGACAAACAGAGAGGAGCAGCGGATGAGAAGGAGTGATGCTGAACTGGATCTGAGTCCTGAATCCGAAACTTTCTGCTTTCCGTGTGCGCCCACATAATTTGCAACAGCGACAGATGCAAATTTCCCTTCCAGCCCAAAAGGCGCTTAACCCGTTTTCCTGTTGATGGAAAAACAAGCGGATATTCAGGGCAGAGGTCGGGTCGCTCGAAATCAGATCAAATAGCTGGGACAACGGGCTTTAAAGCTAAAGTAAAAGGTCTGCGTTGAAGATAAAATGGGATTGAGGAGCAAAGCTCCGAAAAATAGGAGCCCAGTTGAAAACTAAAGCGTTGGCACGTCCTGCCAGCCAAGAGTCAATTAAAATTTCTATTTGATTTGGCAAATGTCAATGACAGGCAGACTTCGGCTGCCAGACTGTTCGGGAAGGACCAGGTCCTGAAACAGAGACGGGACTCACCAGCCACCCACCCAAACAAGCACTCTCGTGGGCCCAGAGGAGTACATGGCCCATCCCATTGTGCTGACCAACTGCCAACGGCAGTCCAGACAGATAAGAGCAGCTCGAAATTGGCTACAGGTAGACAGCGTAAACACAGGATAACGTCTCTCAATGTTCTTGAAAGGAATTTTGCAGAAATTGCAATAAAAATTATCTTTAATTAAGGAACTGTATTTATCAAACATTTTCTGGTATATTTTGCTGAAGAACTAAGTTAAATTGACAAAAACTAGCAAATTGAATGTATAACTATTACTGGAATTGAGAAATCTTTTATTTATTGTCTTTATTGAATTGGGAAAATTAAAATGTATTTCAAAATACATACAGCACTGAACACAAATCAATGAATATATTAAAAGGTCACCAAGTTACTTCAAATCTTATCATAAATTAAACAATTCTAAGAAAAAATTTGTATAAGAAAATGTTTTGAAAATGTATTAACACAATTAATAAATATTAATAATGTAATTCGTTTTAATATGAAGGATTATTGAGTCCTAAGCTTGTGTTTATCTGTTCTTAATTTGAATAAGCAATGCAAACATCTTTTTAACAAATCTTTATGAGTGTTCTGTACTCAATCTGCTGCAATCCTTTATGCCAAAACCCAACTGAATTCGAAAGAACTTTCTGTGGAACATCCTTGAACAAACGATTGGCATGACGACGCTGTCAGGTAAACGAACTCAGTGGCCAAGGCACCCATGGCAAAGATAAGCTGAGGGGAAAATAAACTGAAATTGAGTCAGACCCAGCCAGAGTTGGGGAGGGGTTGAAGTTGGCTCACAAACTGCAGCGCCAATCCTTTATTTTGATTTTATGTGGAGCTAGCACTAAACCTCAATATGAACTAAATCAAAAAGAGGCGTAAAACTAATTTCGAACAGTGCAAAAGCCGCTAAACGAAATTGCAGCGCTTTATAATTTATGGGGTCATACAAGCATACCAGCATAAATACATAAAAAAGCACTATAACAAAAGCGGAATAGCTGGCGAAATTTATGACTTGCGGTTGCTACCTGGCATACACACCTGTGTATGAGTTCGCGATAAAAACTTTCTCTGGTGAAAAACGTGAGTATTTGGTCCGAAAAGTATGCTACAATAAAGTTTGGCCAGACGGATATATACTGCGATATTAGTGGATCGTTGTTGCTAAGCTAGGTTGAGCTGCAAACATCAATTCTGCGAAATTAAATATAAATTAATTCACTGCCAACTTTCTACACAGTTTTTAATTATTGTTGGCTGAATTTATTTAAATAACAAAAACAAAAAAGTTGCAATAAAATGTGTACGAGGCGAAGGGGCAAGAAAAATATGTTTGAATAACTTAAGAAATAATGTAATTAATTAACCAGGCACTAGTTAATTAAATTGGCAATGCAAAAGTCAGACTAATTTAAATTTCATGGCCCATTTATTGCATCTGGCTATCATCCATCGCCATTTCAATACTATCAGGCGTGGAATAATGGGCAGATTACTTTTAAAATATATTCTTACCAACTGTGTTTTTGTTACACTAGCTACTGTTGATCTTGATTTGTCAAAAATAGATTGCTCTGTAAATGGAACCTTGGAAAGGTGTCCCAGTCCCTGTCCGGAAACTTGTGAGTACTTGAGCGAATCTTGTTTCGATAAATGTGGCGGTCCTTGTGTCTGCAAGGAGGGCTATATAATCGATGGTGATCGAAGGACTTGCGTTCTAAAATCGGACTGTCCAGATGGTCTAAAGCAGACTACGTTGCGGAGGCACTATCCCGTGAATATTGAATATTTTGGATCCTATATACTGTTTAATCTAACGGATTACGAAATAATCAAAGTGCGGATACCAACAAGCTATAATAATAAATTCAGTACATATAACAAAATATAAAAGCAAGTGTTATAAATGATTTATTTTAATGATGTATTATTTGATTATGTTTGTCCTGTAAAGAACAATTACTTTGATGAATTGGCATCGACAATGTTTTTATAACCTTGCGGAGGGTATTATAATTTCGGTCAGGTGATAGCAACGCAGATAAACCCACATCTCCGACCCTATAAATTATGAATTTTCTTGATGAGCATCACCAGCGCAATCGAAATCTACATGCCCGTATGTCTAATTCAGTGCAATTTACTTGCTCAGTTAACGACTGGAGGATTGAAGATGGGTGCAGGGAGATGGGCGACCATTTCATGCAGCTCTCAGATGAACAATGGAAATGAATTGAAATGTATAGCTTGGTTTTTGAACATAAATGTACTCCGAGATATAGTATTTTTTCTTTTAGTTTAGTTAAATTAAATTTCTATAAATACCACAGGAAAATACTACTTTCTAGGTTTTTCAAGTTATTAACATGCATTTGAAGTTTCATTAAGAATATTTGTATACTCTTGCAGAGAGTATTATAATTTCAGTCAAAAGTTTGCAACGCAGTGAAGGAGACTTCCTTTCTTGTTTGATTATAACTTTTATCAATCCACCTTAATATGAGGGAACGTTCACTTGTTCTGAGTACTTGAACGGACTACCAGAAAATAAAAACAAATTGGTTAGGGGTTTGGTTTTAGTTTATTTGTTTGGAGTTTTGCTGCTGTTTAAATGATTTTTAAAGCTGCATTAATGGGTGGCAATTTAGAGCACTTCAGGCCACCTTTGTGGATGGCGCTGCAGTCGGTTTCTTGACTGTTTTGTTTTTCTGGCCCTGTCGCTTGTTGTTTGTGCCCGTTCGTTTGTTGCCGCTGCGCTTTGATGGAGAGCGTCTGCGTTGGCCACGGCGACCGCGCCCGCCCTTGCCCCCGCACCTGCGGTTTCCCCGCCTGCGGTTGTTCTTGCCACGCCCCTTGCGTCCGCCCCTGCCGTTGCGCCGGCCACCTCGCCTCCGATTTCGTGGCACGGCGCGGGCGAGATCGATTTCCGGCTCCAGTTCCTCCTCGGCCTCAGCCTCGTTCTCGAGTTCCTCGAGATCCTGGAGCTCATCGGTGGGCTCCTGCTCCTCCGCTTGCTGGTGCTTCACTTCAGTCTTTGCCTTGGTCGGTGTGGTGTTGGTGTTTGAGGTCAACTTTTTGCTATCCACTTCTTTCTGCTTCTCTTCATCCTTGGTCTCGTCACCTTCTTCCCCGTCCTCATCTTCTTCACCATCGTTGGTTGTCCCCTTTGGTAGGTCCTCTTCGTGCTCGATAATATCATCGCCATCCTCTTCATCCTGCTGAACGGCATAATACCTGGCGTTCAGGCGCTGGAGACGGCTAAGCTGCTCTAGAGCAGCGGGTCTGGCCTGGATGGCGGTCCTCCTTGGCTTGGCAGAGGTGCCAGTTCCAATGCTGAGCAATGCCACCAGGGCAACGAACAAGAGCCACTTCAATGACATGACTGCTGGATGCGTTATGTTGCTGCACTATCCCTAAGCCATGGCTTTTATGGCGGTCCAAAGTTCAGCTTTTGGGCGGCTGAGCAAACAAGTCGGAGACTTTGTTTGACTTGGGAAAGTGGGTCTTCTGGAACCGAAACTGTGGTTATCAGGAAGCTTGCCACATTTCTGACACCCTCTTATTTATGCGCTAAGCAAATTTAAATTAGTTTTTTATTGTTTACGAAAAGTTAGAAACAGCTTCGACCAGGCTAATGATGCAGTGTTCCGGAGTCACGTACCTCAGCATTTGCCTTCCAACAATGTGGCTCCGTTGTTAATGTTTAATTGTAGGCACGTACTGGGGCTACAACAACTGCATAAACATTGAAATTATCTGACATTTTCAGGAAGGAGAATGGAGCAGCAGCAGGCTTTTCGCTTTTCGGTGGGTGGTGGTGGGCGGTTGGTAAGGTGGCGTTAACACGTCTCCACTCTGCATATTAAATGGAAAAATAATTTGGCAACCTATTGGTCACAGCTGTGGATCAAGGGATTAAAGTTATTATTATTGGGGAAAAAATGTATGAGGCTGCGCGTTGCTTCTGGACTTGATTGGAATATTGCCCTATAATGATGGAGTAAATTTGTTTTTTAAAATGACGAAAAAGCTTATTATTACATATTAAATATGTTATAGATTTATATTTCTCTTTCACATTATAATGATTAAGATATAATATACTTTATTTGTTCTTAAATCATATCCATTTTATTATTATTAATGGCTGGCAAAATGTAAGACTCAACCGTATTGTTGGTATGAAATACACTGTGGCAACAATGGAAAGCTTAGTGATTACCATAATTGTTTCCATTCCACACACATCCTTGCATTCATTAAAATTCAAACTTGGCAGAGACTCAAATGATTGAATGGCTGCCTCTATTTCCCCGATTCCTCCTTCCTTGTCGCCCTGACTGACCATTATTCCGACATCTATCCCATTGCAGGTCCCTGCCCAGCCTCGTACTTCAAATGCAACGACGGATTCTGCATACCGATGCGATGGAAATGCGACTCCAAGGCCGATTGTCCGGACAGGTCCGACGAGGGCACCGAGTGCGGTGAGTATTCAATATGTCCCTGGATCCGTGTAAACCCGACGGAATCCACAAGAGCGGCTAACTCCCCGCTGGGGACATTAGCAGGCGGTGATTGCTTTATTATTGGTTTGACTGTTTGGCCGGAACGCTTTTGGGCCATTCCCTGTGTGTCCGTCCTAATGACAGGCTGGCAGCCCTAAAAATTCACCACAAATACATGGCCGAAAGTACCGGCCCATTCACCTGCTGTCCGCAGCAAATGCAATTAGTTGTCGGGCATTTTTGGCCCGACAAATCCGTAAATTGAAAGCCCTGCCATGGACCTTAAAAGCCAACTCTGGTCGACTGTCAGTGGAAAATTTAAGCGTTTGTCCTTAATTTTCTCAAGGGCTGATAAGTGGAAAAAGCCACAAGGCTAAAATTAATGTATAGTCATTTTTCTCTTCTTTTTTCGCTCAATGAAAAGAGCAAACTGCGAGCTGCAACAATTGCTGCTGGCCCGGAGAGTTCTTCTGGCATTTTTAATTTAATTTTTATGGCACTGCAGTCGGAGAGAGACGACAACTCAGACGACAAATTGTCGGCAAATATTAATGCAACAGATTATAATATATGTGCCTGGCACATCGTTGTCATCTACATCGCCCAACTTCCCCCCGTTTTCCTTATGTACTGCCCGCTCTCTCCGTTCGCGCGATTTCAATTAAACTGAACTGAACTGAGTGCAGACATACTACTGGCACACACACACAAAGTTTATAAAGTGTTGTCATATATATAAGCCTCTTGATATATTGCATTTAAACTGGCCTCGTTACACTAGCGACAAAAAAGTTTCCTCAGATCTCCTCTCCATATAAATTTTATTCAAATTTATACGCAACTTTTAAATGAGGCTTGACTTAAATGGACTCTCGGGATTTAAAAACTGTGAATATTTGAGCTTTGGCAATATTTTAGTTGCCTCTTTTATAGGAATTATTTGGTAGGAGGAGAAATTTAAAATGTAAGTAAGAGAGAACTTTTAACGAACAAGTATTCAAAAGGAATAGAATTTACTAAACCTAAAAGAAAATAGGACACTCCTAGCAACCTTAAACAATGACATTGGTTGCGAGTTAAATGAGTACTTTAATCTCTTGGTGAAAACTGAGCGGAGTAAGTTCGAAATAATTTATGTAAGAAGTCCATCCAAGCATCAAATGATATATAAAGATTTCTTAGTTGTTCTTTTTAACGCTATTTACGCTTTATTTGTAGTTCCTACTATTACTTAAAGACAAAAACTAAAGACTTAGACACATATATACAATTTTATAAAATATATGATTTTTAAGTCTTCTACCCAAGGATAGCTAAAACCCCGGTGGCAATTCATAGTCTTGTTGTTAAAGCTAATCTATTTATTAACTTACTATAGTTGTTATAGCAACTACTTGCAGCGCATAGAATGCTCTGCTCCCTTAGAAACTATAGCTTTCAATATTGTTGACTTGTGGTATTTTAAAATCCTTTCCTCCATGCTTTAAGGAATTTACTATCGCAGTAATATCGAATAATTTTAATATTTAGTATTGCTGCTACATGGTAGTTTTTTGAAACACTGCCATTGACCTAATCGGATACTTAACTACGCATATCTGTTTTACTCGTATTTATTTGTCTGCCATTTTAAAGTGTATCAACTTTTACGAGGTCCCTTTTCTCATTTCACTCTAAATGGAATGTCCCCATGCAGCAGACATTACGAACAATATTATAATATTTTCCTGTTTTCCTAGAGTCATACATTTGTGCTCCTTGTGAACATTTCAAACATGCAAATTGTTTGACACAAATAAAAGGAAAATGTGCAAAGAAGAATTCAAATAACGCGTTGTATTCTCTCCGCAATGGAGGTCCAAATCAAAGGCAGCAATGACAATGCCTTGACAGCGGATGGGTGGCATGGGTGATATAGGAGGTAGGAGAATTCAGGGGGCGACATCCGACCGACATGCGCGACTATAACCATAAAAGCCACATTGGCGACACATGGGAACGGCCAAAAATATTTTGCTTGCCAAGAGGTTAAACTCCAGAGACAAGCATTGGACGTGTCCATGTCTCCGTCTGTCGTGCTTCCGTATTCCCGTATTCGCGTGGCAATTTGCATGGCGCTGGCGGATGGCAACACGGATATAATACGTAATAAGCCCAAGGGCATGCAGTCACGGGGTCCGGATAAAAGTTTAAATTTTTTATTTTACCCCCGAACTCAAAGTGCACGGAGTAAATGGCGAAAACGAAGCCAGGACCAGAAATTTTGTCAAGGGAGCCGTGGAGACGGTGCCCGGGGATGCTGACCACCAGTAAAACGGGAGGGGGAGTGGGGCAGACTGGATCCCGGCATTTATTTAATCAACTCTGGCCCTCGAAAATGGTCAAAAATGATGTTGCCGGCCAATTGTTAAACATTTTTAAGTGCCACGGGGAGTTCAACTAACTGGAAGCAAAGTCAACTCAAAAAATTAACGTCCCATTTAGCGGAGCGAATTTGTCACAGTTTTTTTTCGTGGTCTTTCGAGGGTTGGCCATTGTCACCCCCTAAAATGAGAATAAAACTCATTCACTTTAATAAAAGTCGGGCTAATTGGGTAATGACCATGAAAGGGAGAAGGAGTGAAAGGAAACTAGGGGTAATTTCCATTTTAGAAAGCTGCCTTACCAGATGGCCACAATCCTAATTTGTTTTCTTTTAAAATATACGTTTTCCTAGATATAGAGAAATGAGAAAAACATTATACAGACTGGTTACGGTTTTCACTTTCAAATGATTACTCAAATGCGATTTACACTAACGTTAATATTAAGTCGGCCTAAATGTACTTTTCCTAAAAAAAAACTAATTACCGCATTTCTATAGCCTTATTATATAAAAATAATGACAAAAATTTTGATAAATCGAATTCGATGATTAATTAGAATATATAATATAATTAGTCACTAAACCGTAGAAACCTATTTACATAAAACATCCCCAATCTGAATTTTCTACTATTGCACTCTTAACAGATCGCGTGAATTTATATTTTCTTTTTTTGCTAGGGATATAAAGTATACCTCAATCATGACAACCATATTGATGACACTTTCCCCTTTTTCCCGCACGTCCCTTTCAAATAATAAGTGCAAGGATTACACAGTTATTTCTAGGATTTTCAACTTAAAGTTCAAACTTTTATATCTGCCGAAAGTTGGCCACGACTGCCCTTGTTTGCGTGTTATTTACGATATCTCGCGAAATAATTCAGCGATTTGTACGAACAACAGCAGCAGCAGCAGCAGCAGCAGCAACTTTTTTGTTTGGCCAAAAAGCGGACCAACGAGAACCAGCCCCAAGACCACTAACAAACCCCACCATAAATCTTCATTTCGGTTATTGTTATTGTACAAGAGTAGTGTACTGAGTTTGGTTCTGCTCTGCTCTTTCTGGGCTTCTGTTTTCCAGCCGAGGCGCCCATGTGCAACGATGGACAGTTTCGGTGCGGGGTTACCCGCCACTGCATCCCGAACAATTGGCTCTGCGACGGGGAGTTCGACTGCGGCAATGGCGACACATCCGACGAACTGAACTGTAAGTAAGCCGCGGGCCTTGGCATCGCCACCCACTCTGGCTCTAACCAATGTTACCTCCATCTCCCCCTCCTCCGCTCCTTGACCAGGTCCGAGTGGCGCTACGCCCAAGTGCCGCGCCTTCGAGAGCCAGTGCCGCAACGGCGACTGCCTGGAGTTGTCCCGCTTCTGCGATGGCCGCTGGGACTGTGATAACGATGAGCTGCAATGTGGTAAGTGCTGCTGGCCAATGCGGCTAATTGGCCCGCCTAAGGGCCAACTCCACCTCTTGCCGTTGGCCAATACTGTTGGCAGGGGGAAATAGTAGTAGACCAGGGTGTTCCGGAAATCTCA